GCTTTTTTTATCCATGAACATTCAAAAATACAAAAGTAGTATTGATTTTTTCTTTTGTGTTATTTTTTTTTGAATCGCTCAAATGATTGTCAAAACGCACTAAAGAATGTATTCTCGAATGGTTTTTTTTGTCCAAACGCGCTATAGATTGCCTATGTTTATGCTAATGAACTAATGAAGTTTTTTTTTTGGATGAATGATTGTCAATAAATGCAACCGTTTGTCAATTGGTGCTAGTGAATTTTTTTTGCGCGCACATGAAACAACGTTCCACCCAAATAATTGTCCAGTTGTTCAGTTGATTTTTTTTTGATACTGTTGAATGCTCGCGTGTATTTAAATATCGCTATTGAAAGTCGTTTTTTTTTTATGATGTTGCTTACGGTGGTCAAGAAAGTACAATAAAAGTTATTGAAGCAACGTTTTTTTCAAGTGAATGTACGTTTTACGCTAATGAACAGCAAAAGGTGTAAAGTACGGTATTTTTTTCTGAATAAAGTGTTTTTCAATAAACGCCGCCCCCGAATAGACGCCGCCCTCGATTTTTTTCCGCACCTGGACCGTGAAAAATGAAATAAACGCCACGGCGTCTATCCGAGTAATTTTTTTAAACATGTATTATTATTTATTTATTTTTTTAGTGTCAAAAAGCGTACCTGAGATTTTTTTGTTATTTACCTTACCTCAGTAAAAACATTCGCGAATTTTGTACCGAGGTAAGGTTTTTTTCACTCTTTTCGCAGGGCACAAAAAGCGCCACACTACAGCATCTTGCGTGTTTGTTTTTTTTTTAAGTTTTTATAGTACATTCAACAAAATACAGTAATACTTTTTCATTGGTCTTTTTTTTTACAATTACAGTACTATTACAATTGTACTCCTTATATATTCTCTTTTCTCACTTTTTTTACTATAAACAAAAACTCGCACTTGACCTCTCGTACAATTTGGAATTAATAGTCACTTGTAATGTTTTAAAAGTTCTCAAGTTGCACTCGTCCTATCCGGCTGGTGCAATTACGTTTTTTTTTCAAAATATTACTCGTGACTATTTTGTACTCAAGGTCGTGCGATTTCCTATACTAAAATTCAAAATGCCTTTTTAAGGACTGTTTACACTAGCAATTTTAGTCAAATTATCCCTATCCTTATTTTTATTTTTTTTCCTGGATGAACTGATTTTGATATTCTCTTATAACGGCTTTTTTTAAAATTGTTTGTCGCTACTGCATGAATGCGAAAAAACAATCGATCCTGAATTGTTTTTTTATATGCAGATACTAATTTATCTTTGATTTGTTGCAGTTCATTCTTTGTAGGAGTTTTTTTTGTTTTGTTAGCAACATATTTGTATGGCAAACCATCGCCCGAGCCATCACAACTTTTTTTACCTATCAAGACAAGTGATAACACTAGTAACATTTAAAAATAATATATGAACTTTTTTTTCGTGGGAAAAGCCCGGAAGAAGGAGGAGGGGAGTACCGGGGAAAAGCCCGGAGTTTTTTTGAGGGGAGTACCGGGGATGCTGGTCGGATCTCTTGGGAATATTTTAGGGTGTCTTTTTTTAGTTTCTGGAAATTTTTATTTTCTGCAATCTCGGAAAAGAAGACAAAAAGCCCTTTTTTTTTGATTTTCCTCTGCGTTTTATCCTTGAAACTGATTTAATTTAACAATATTTGTTTTTTTATCTCTTAGGGGTTAAAAATCAGTCAGCCACGCCCTTTTTTCAAGACTTCCGGTTTTTTTTAGGGGTCTTTGACGAGCATCCCTGGTACTTTTACCTCGGAGCTCATAACTCTTTTTTTTTAGCTTACATCCCAGATAGCTTTATACGTAGTCTTAGAATGACTAGCATGATATTTTTTTCCAACATGTACCAAATAAAGTTTACGTGTAACGCAGGAGAGAAATGACTTCGCTTTTTTTATTGCTAAGATCAACCCGACTCTCTGATTTCTCTCTAAAAGAGAGATTAACTGTTTTTTTTTCTGAATTCTCCAGTTTTTGTGACCTTATCTTCAATCAAGCATAAATTTTTATTTTTTTCTTTGTATACACGTAGTTTTTTCATTACAATAGGATCTCTGCTGAATAAAAGAATATATTACATGCTTTCGAGGTTAAGGCTAACTTACAAATAAGATCTCGAAACTGGAGTATGGCGAGACCCTAAAGTCCCCCTATTTATGGACGCGATTGAGCATTTAGAAAAATGCGGATTTTTTTTGGTATTACGTCACGATCCCATGCCACAAACTATACCTYATAGTCTAGTGACAGAGTTTGGTCAAGCCCAGTAACCTTGTTCGGTTTAAATACTTTGCAATAATATTCAATTTTTTTTTTCAAAACTTCGTTACAATGACAATAGCGATAACATTTAATATTTTTTATATAGATTTTTTTAAGTGTCGAGTCCCAATAAAATATATCAAAATTCACAGTGTATCGCGCGTTAGTTTTTTTAGAGGATGTTTTGGTTTTTGTTCTTTATTGTTTGGTTTTTGTTTTGTTGTTTTTTTTTTTTTCTTTTTTGTTTCTTTTTTGCTTTTCTTAGTTTTGTTTATAACGCTAAAATCTTTTTTTTCTAGTCGCTCCCAAACCAACAGATGTTTTTTTTTAATAGTACGATATCCGTCTTTTTTTAATATTAATCTTGTTCTTTTTTTATGTACGTTTTGCAATAAAAATTCAACTATTTTTTTAACATCTACTTTGCTATAGTGCCGGATTATTTGAAGTTCAAAAGTGAAATCTTTTTTTTTTCAGGGTTGTTTTTTTTTTGTTTTTTTTTTATGTCAATGAAAATGTCTGCCCGTTTTTTTAGTTATGTATTTAAAACTGAAAAATTACATATAGATTAGCGTTAATGGAATGCCTGTATTTCAGTAGTCTAACCAGACTAGTTTTATTMACAGGAAAGTGAGCTAGCGACTTGGTGCAATTAGCGACTATTTCAGTGAGATTTTCCGCGTGATKCCAGGCGTTTTTGCATCCCTTTTTTTATTGTTTRCATTTCTTAAAGGAAAAAGGTTCCCATCAGAATCAGGGTTAAATGTTTTTTAATAAGTTTCTGTTTATTGTTACTACTTTGAACTCTAAAAACACATTTATAGGAAATTCTCTGCATATGCTTTCTGTGAAGATTTCGTAGGTTTTCAATATAATCGTTTTCTTCTTTTTTTAAACGGTCAGCAGCCCCGATAAAGCTCCACATTATACAGCACCAAGACATATTCTATTATTTGGAATTGTTTAAGCCCTACAATGGCCGCCATAATGTTGTGTTAAAGCCTTTTTTTTTTGTGTATTTCAAGCTATTGGTTTTCCTGCATTTTTAGCAAGGGCTGTTTTTGCATTTTTTTTGCTCGAAAGGGCTAGACGTGATTAGTGGCGTGTGCCTGATGGATTTCAGTTTTTTTTTTTTTGCTTGAGATGGGTTTCGTGGCATTCGCTTTTTAGCRCGTAAACGGAAAAATTTTTTTATATTGTTTCCACACAACACAATTCTCCACAGTTCCCTGCGTCATTTCAAAGGTTTTTTTAATTAGTCTGAACTAATTTAGGATCGAATCGAGACGACATATGATAGTAACTATTTTTTTAATTGTCTAGGTGCGAAAGAAGATTTCTATCATTGTACGTTGTTTGTAAAGTTTCAATTAACTTGAATGTTTCTTAAGGCCAGAATAATAACAATTTATGGAAACTTTGCTTGTTTTTTTGTTATAGTAGGTGAAAGCAGAACCTGCGGTTAAAAAGCGTCCCATACAAAGGGTTTTTTTGGCGCGTTGCGTGGACTTTTTAGCTAATACGCACATGTCAGTGACCGCGACACTTTTTTTGGATAGGAGGCCGGCTAACGACCGCCGAAGGCGGGAGTGGAAAGGGGTTTTGATTTTTTTTCTCTTGGAAATGCGATTTCCAGCGTTTTGAGGGGCATCAAGAGCATATAAAATTTTTTTAATTTATGTGAATTTTTAATAATTTTTGCAAGCAAAAACAATTATATATAAAATTTTTTTTAATATTTCCTTGCCACTAGGACGCTACGCGCCTGATAACTCTCGTCATACAATTTTTTTGACCCCTGACAGCCAGCCTCTTCAGGGTGAATTAGCTGACGATATTTAGATTATTTTTTTATCGACGATTGCTAGGATACCACATGGTTTCGAGTCATTTATTGCTCAATTGATTTTTTTAGATGGATATCTTTTTGGAAATAAAACATTTACATATTTCGCTTCTAAAATCATTTTTTTTTGCTGACTTGGTTTTCTGGTGTGTTGTTTAACTTTGTGTTGAGCACAATGAATTTTTTTTTAGWTCGGACCTGTTACAATAGATCTGAAGATCTACGGCATCTTAAAAAGTCATAACCAGTTAATAATCACATGTGCTTAAGGAACTGAAGAGGACTTTGGTTAGCTTATTGTTTTTTTTTTTCTATAGGACCACACTCTACAAGGAAATTGCCAAGGGACTTTATAATTGTACAGTGTGTCGTGGCTGTGTCTCTCTTTTTAGGTTGGCCAGTTCAAAGAACTTAAATACATTTTTTTAGTTMAAATCAATTAGCTAAAAATCGCCTTACCCTCGTAGCTCCCAAACCAACAGATGTAATTTTTAATAGTGCGATATTTGTTGATATGAATATTAATAACAAAAATTACACAAAGTATTGAGTTTCTATGTTATCACATTATACTCTAGTTATAAAGTGATTATTTGTTGGCGATGATACGTCATCTGTTTGAAATGTAATGTGATAATAACGCTTGTTTTTGCTCACAGTTTTTTTTCGGTAAAACTAAAAAACGTTTATCTGAGCTCGCCTAAACGAGCTCGCAAAAAATTTTTTTAAAAAGACCAGCACTATTTCAACAACAACTTGTTCATTTATACTCTATTTACTTTTTTTTGAGTATAAAACATTTGTTACCTAAACTACATTCAAACAATAAGACCTGACAACTTTTTTTGGGCGGGCATCTCGTTTAATTATGCAACAACTGAAAATTATACATTAGACAAATTTTTTTTATAGAAGATATAAACGGCATAGTTGACTCAAGTCTGAAAGGCTAGCACTCATTTTTTTTCGAGGTTGAACAAACTGATAGGAAACTAGGTCTAATGAGAATAAAACAAAAAATTTTTTTATTTGTATTTAACGATGAGGTGCCTTCGAATGGCAATTTATTCATGACTCACATTTTTTTTACTCTGCAAGCATGGGATGGGCTATATTACGAAACTTCGTTTACTTAGTCACTTTTTTTCAATACATCACAGTATACATTCCGTATCGCTAATAAATATGTCTGTGATCAAGTTTTTTTTCGTAGCTTTAATAAGTCAATTCCTTTAGAAATGAATTCTGCAAAAACTCTAGTTTTTTTAATTACCTGCTATCAGTTACTATATTGATTTTGTTTGTTTGTTTGTTCTGTTTTTTTTTTTTAAATGTAGTAGAAAAATAATAATGATTCTGCTAAACACCAAGTTTTAATTATTTTTTTAACTTGAATGTTTATTTTAGGTAAAGGCCAGAATAATATTAATTTATAAGAAATTTTTTTTGTCCCTGTATTCGAGTAGACGATCTGAAAAACTCTTACTCTTCAGGCCGAATTTTTTTTCGATATTTCGATTGTGTGCTATCGAGGATGTATAGGTTGCTTGTTGGGATATCTTTTTTTTTCGAAAGCGTTTATTTATTGCTCAATTGGCTTTTAAGATGGATATCTTTTTTTTTTTTTAATATTAACATATTTCGCTTCCAAACTAAAATCACCTGTTGTTATTAATTGGTTTTTTTTTGTGTTGTTTAACTTTCACAATGTGATGTTTTAGTTAGGAATCGTCTCAATAGTTTTTTTAAGTCAAAATAGGTAGATGATATTAATTTTATTTTCTTAGCGTCTACAGCGAGGAAACTAACTCATTAATGATTTTAATGAAATTGAGAGTTATCATAACTTAAAACGCTGTTTTTTTTTGTCGGTGGTGATAGTTGCCTGTCAATAAAGACATATCTACTGGGCAAATCGAGTTTTTTTGGCGGTAACAAACACATTTAGTACTTGTACGATTTTAGCGACTTGTTTCAACGTTTTTTTTTGGATTGATATCCCATCATACATTGCAAACCCTATTCAAAATATCGGGCTTGTTTTTTTGACTATACATTTAATGGACTATGCTTTTGTTATTGCGTATATAAACATTCAATTTTTTTTCGTGAGCCAAAGTCTTCAAAAACTGTTTCTTAAGAGTCGTTGTGTCCTTTCTTGCCGTCTATAACCAAGATGTTTCGAATGAAAACACGAATCAATAAACTTTTACTACGATATTTTTTTTTAGCACCTATCACAACAGATGCGTAAGTCTTATCCTTGTTGTATTAATTAAATTTTT